TACACCTATATTTATATTTTTTGAAAACCATGAGTTCACATTAATGCTTCCAAATATAATCCAACACCACAGTTTATTCTAGATTTCTTCCTTTTCATATTTGTAATTCTTTTTTTCTAATAGTAAGAAATCTGGTTTGAGGTTTTTTTCCTTTCAGCATATTAAAAATGTTTCTTATCTTCTAGCCTTCCTTGTTTATGGTGAAAAGTCTGCCACTATATTGTTGCTTCCATGTGTGCTTAATCCCTTTTTTCTTTGGCTGCTTCAACGTTTTGTCTTTGTGGTTTTCAGTGGTTTTTACTGTGTTGGACCTAAGTTTTGTTCTTTTTGTATTTAACCTCTCTGGGGTTTGCTGATCTTAGATCAGAAAGCCAGTGGCTTTCGCCAAATTAGAGAAATATTTGGTCACTATTTTTATAATTTTTTTGTGCCCCATTCTTACCTCTTTTCTGGGTCTCCAAGTAAACATATGTTAGATCATTGAAAATTGTCCCACAGGTGTCTGATATTGTTTATTATTTATTTTATTTTTCTTTCTCTATTCTTCAGTTTAGATCATTTCAGTTGATCACGCTTTAATTTCATAGACTTTCTTTCTGCCATCTCCAATCTGCTTTTAAACCCATCCAGTAAATTTTTAATTTCAGATAATATACTTATAAATTCTGGAATTTCTATTTGGTTCATTTTAGGTTTTCATTTTTCTGGTGAAAATTTTCATCTCAAAATTTCCATTGTAACTATATTTTTTATTTAAGTTTTTGAACATACTTATTATAGCTTCGGTAGAGCCTTTATGTGCTGATTCCTACAACTAGTCATTCTGTTTGTTCCTTTTTCTCTTGACTATGGATCTCATTTATATGCTTCTTCTCATATATAGAAGTGTTGTTGTTTTTTTATTATTATTATATAATGGGCATTATAAGAGACTATGGATTGTTTTATCTCCCACAGATTAACTTTCTAGCTGGTAATTGTGACTTCATAGATTCGGTTTTGCGTCCATTAGGGCAGGTGTATTTTTATTTTGCCCTTAGTCCTAAAGCAAATCTCTTAGTCCTAAGACTTATTCTTTAGTCCCTCACAATGCAGGGTTTTTCTGAGTTTTCAGTGGAAAGTTTGAGGGGCTTATTAAGCCCCTCTAACTTAGTAGGCATCAAATTATAAACTCTGTCTCCCCTCACGGGCAGCAGTTAGAATCTCGGCTCAGATCTTTCAATCTTCCAGCTGTTACTTTCCATTGGAATGTTTGGAGTCTCCCACTCATGTATGTAGCTTGGGGGTTAGCCATGGATTTGAGGGGAATTTATAAGCATGTTTTGGTACTAATTCCCTCCCCCATGGCTATTTCTATTTTCTGTGATTTTTCTTCTCAATTTCCAGCCACTATGGTAGCCCTGACATCTCAAGCCAATAGACTGTGCCTGTCTAATTGAATTTTAGTCATCCTTCACCAAGTGGACTGGTGAGTAGTAGTACCCTTAGGGGAAAAGCACATAAACATGGAACTCACCCAGAGTGGTTATCCTCTTTCAAGCTCAGTCCACTCCCCCCCCCCCCCCTCCAGTTTCTGCCTACTTTAGGTCAATCGCCTGCCTTTAAGTAGTTATTTTAAAATATTTTTCTGTGGTTTATAATTGTTATCTCAAGAGGGTTAATTTAATACAAACATTTCTACCATTATTGGAACCAGAATGTTTTGGTTTAAAGTTTTATTGTATTCAGTATATACCAATTACTGCATAAATGTCTTTAAAAAACACAGTTAAGTTTAAAAAACTGTATATTGTCTGTACATGAATAATAAATGTTTGTTGTATAGTAGTTGCAAAAGAAGTACTGAACCCTGAGCCTAGACTATAAATGTACCAGCAGTCCTATACACTAATGTCAGATGATTCCATTTATTCTTTTAAAATATGTATTTTGAAATACAAGGTCAATGGTTTAAGAATAAAACAGTGAAATGGATATATTTTTCAAATTTTAATTGGTTTAAATGGAAACCCATTCTATATTTTTTCTTATTTTTAAAATGTTATTTTTGTCTTCCTATTCTCTTTCCAAAGAATGATAATTGACCAAAATGAATTATTTAAAATATCTATGCAACCATTGCTAATATAAATGAATAAGTAAATAAGTGGGCAAAGAAGTCATAGCTCTTCCTTACAGAAAAATTCCAGTTAATAAATGTAGACAGCCCCTGGCCAGTTTGGCTCAGCGGTTGAGCGTCAGCCTGCAGACCAGAGAATCCCAGGTTCGGTTCCCACTAGGGGCACGTACCACCAAAAATAAATAAGTAAATGAATGCAGACAGAACAGGAGAAATTTTAAAATTACCAATAGAACACCACAGTAAAAATTACCATAGGCAAGATCTAGCAATGGATGCTAAAATTAGTAGGCAAAGTTGAAGCAAAAAAAGAATATTTGCATAGTCGCAAAGTATTTCCCCCAATGTTTAGTAATTCCTAAAGGAAGAAATAATAAGCTTACAATTGGGGAATCTTGGCATACACTATCTTAGGCACATGATCAAGGTTAACATCACCAGAAATATTCATCAACATACCTCCTAACTTAATACATTGAGACAGGCACATCACCTCTGTGGTATCCTTCCTAATAATGTATAACCTCAATCTGATCATGAGAGAACATGAGACAAACCCCAAATGAGGAACAGTACTCTTCAGAAGTAACAGAGTCATGAAACATGAGGTATTGTAACAGATTAGAGGAGACTAAGGAGACATGACAACTGTTGCAATGTGGGATCTTGGATTAGACCCTAAACAGAAAAGCGGCATTATTGGGAAAAGTGGTGAAACTCAAGTTCTTTATATTGTACCATGCTAATTCCTTAGTTTTGATAAATGTTCTGTAGTTAATGTAAAACATTCTCATAAGGGGAAGCTGAGGGAAGGAACTCATACCTATTTGTGCAACTGTTCTATATATCTAAAATTTTTAAAAAATCAATTCTTTCCTATTGTTAGTTTTAAGAAATCACTTGTATCTTCAGATTTTTCTCTTTAATTTCAATACATACATTTATACTAGTACTCAGAGTATTCTTAGACTAGTAGCATTAATATCAACTGGGGACTTATTAAGAATGCAAATTCTCAGATGGGGATGGGGCCTAGCAATCTGTGTTTTAACAAGCCCTCCAGATTATTCTGATGCATGCTAAAATTTGAGGACCATGATTTGTACCATCAGTAAAAACTTAAGACTAAAAGGAAACAATTTTATTAATATAGTGGCCAGTTGTTAATAATCTTTGCTTACCATAAAGTATAACCTGTTTTCTTTTAAATTGTGGTAAAATACATGTGACATGTCATTTGCCATGTTAGTCATTTAAAAATGTACAGTTCAGTGGTATTAAATACATTCATGTTGTTTTGTATCCATCACCAACATCCATGCTCATAACTCTTTTCACCTTGTAAAACTGAAACTGTACCAGTTAAACAGTAACTCCAATTTCCCTCTTCTCCCAGTCCCTGGAAACCACTATTCTACTTCTGTCTCTATGATTTTGATTTCTCTAAATATCTCATATAAGTGCAACCATACAGTATTTATCGTTTTGTGATGGGCTTATTTCACTTAGCATAATATCCTAAAGGTTCATCCATGTTGTAGTATGTGTCATAATTTCCCTTCCTTTTTAAGGCTGAATAATATCCCATTGTGTGTATATACCACATTTTGCTTATCCCTTAACCCATCTTTGCACACTTGGGTTGCTTCCATATTTTAGCTATTATGGATAATGCTGCTATGAACACTATATACAAATATATCTTCAGAACTGATTTTTGTTTTTTTATCCTCACCCGAGGATATTTTTCCATTTTTTGTACAGATAGAGTGGGAGGGAGAGAGAGAGAGAAACATCGACGTGAAGGAACACATCGAGTGGCTGCCACCCGCACGACCAACCAGGGCCGGGGACAAACTGCAACTGAAGTACGTGCCCTTAGCGGGAACCGAACCCGGGTCTCTACGGACCGCAGGCCGACACTCTAACCGCTGAGCCAAACTGGCCAGGGCCAGAACTGTTTTTAATTCTTTGAGTTATATACCCAGAAGTGGAATTGTTAGATCATATGGTAATTCTATTTTTAATTGTTTAGCTATCACCATACTATTTTCCACAGTGGCTGTACCATTTTATATTCCTGTTAACAGTGCTCATTGGTTCCAATTTCTCCACATCCTCTCCAACATTTGTTTTCTGTGTGTGTGTGTGTGTGTGTGTTTACTAATACTCATCCTAATGGGTGTGAAGTAATATCTTATTATAGTTTTGATTTGCACCACCCTAATTATTAATGATGTTGACCATCTTTCCATGTGCTTGTTGGCCATTTGTATATCTTCTTTGGAGAAATATCTATTTAAATCCTTTGCCCATTTTTTATTTATTTATTTATTATTAATATATATTTTTTATCCTCACCTGAGGTCATTTTTCCATTTATTGTTCAGATAGAATAGGAGGGAGGGAGAGGAAGAGAGAGACAGAGACAGAGACAGAGACATTGACATGAAAGGAACGCCTCCCACATGACCCAACCAGGGCCAGGGACAAACTGCAACCGAGGTTCGTGCCCTTAGCGGGGAATCGAAACCTGGGTCTCTCTGGACTACAGGCTGATGCTCTAACCACTGAACAAAACCGGCCAGGGCCTTTGCTCATTTTTTAACAGCTAACACCCTCACCTTCCATACATATGGTAAACCACTGCTGCTCATATACTTGTTCATGGGAACATCAGTGTCTCTTGTGGGCTTTCACATACTTTGTTTTCCTCTGTCTACTTTGTCCTTCAGTGCTCATAAATCTGCAATTTACATATAGGGTATATTCACGTGTTGATTTTGAGAAATAGGGAAGAATCTGAAAATTGTATATGATACTTTAACATTTAAACCTGTTTCCAAAAAACAAAACAAAACAGAAACACCTCTCTTTACAGACTTATAACAGCTGTGCCAGACTCTGCTTAACCCAAGAAACAGTATGTCTAGCAAGCACTGCTATGAAGACTGAAAATTGTGTGGCCAAAGTAAGTAATATTACTCAATATATAGTATACTACATCATAATAATGCCTTATCTATAAACATCTTCACTCGCTATTGCTATTAAAGACTGTTACATGATTTTATATTTTAAGAATAATATAGCAGGCATCATTTTATCCAAATTAGATTGCAAGTTGGAATCTCTAGCTTTTTAATTGCAAAAAAATTTTTCTATTATGTATTCTAGCCACTTTAGTCTAAATCACATTTGTTGCTCGACACTAGTTAGAGATTATAACAAAAAAGTAAGGTTTGTGTAAGAAAATACAAAAATTATTTTTATAAGTTTGTTCATGGCTTTTAAATGTAATTATTTATATCCAATTATTCTATCACTTCTTATTATTTATTCAGTGTCTTAATGGTAGAAATATTCCTTTCAGTGATCTCGGTCTGAGTGGACAAGTATATTTATTTATTTATTTATTTATTTATTTATTTATTTTATTTTTTTTATCCTCATCCGAGGACATTTTTCCATTTTTTGTTCAGGTAGAGTAGGAGGGGGAGAGAGGAACAGAGAGAGAGAGAAACATCGACGTGAAGGGACACATCGAGTGGCTGCCACCCGCACGACTGACCAGAGCCGGGGACAAACTGCAACCGAGGTACGTGCCCTTAGCGGGAACCGAACCCGGGTCTCTCGGGACCGCAGGCCGACGCTCTAACCGCTGAGCCAAACCGGCCAGGGCTGAGTGGACAAGTATATTTAAATCATGCATATGAGCTCCTTCTTTCTTATGTATAAATGTGTGCCATTTCTGTAGCCTCAACACAAAAAGTAATCTTATATATTAGAGATCTTACAGTCTACATATCAACTATGACTACAAATTTTCTAAGTATCTCTAATTACTCAGGAGCTTTGACTGAAATTTAGATATCAGTCATTTTGATTATTCCAACAATATAAAGTTCCATATGGGCTCTGTTTCTAGATTTTTACTTTGTATATCCACAAAATTACTGTTTTGTCAGTGTTACAAAATTCCCAATTTTAAGTACTTTAAGTTTATTCTATTGTATTATACAGTTAGGCTCTCAATTACTTACTGTTATTATTAGAGCCAGGGCTGGTATCATGTAGTCTCCATCCTTTGCTACAAAAATCAAAGGACAGCAATATTTTTTATTTCTTCTTTTTTTTTTTATCCTCAAGGACATTTTTCCATTTTTTGTTCAGATAGAGTGGGAGGGAGAGAGAGAGAGAAACATCAACGTGAAAGGGACACATCAAGTGGCTGCCACCCACACGACCCAACCAGGGCTGGGGACAAACTGCAACCAAGGTAGTGCCCTTAGCGGGAACTGAACCTGGGACTCTCTGGACTGCAGACTAACACTCTAACCGCTGTGCCAAACCGGCCAGGGCAATTTTTTGTTTCTTAAAACATGCAGTATTTTATCAACTGAAAATATATCATAGAAAATATAATCAATGGAAATGATCCATATAAGAAATGTCAGAATTAATTTAAAATTATAGTTAAAAAAGTCATTTAAATATCTCTTAAATTAGAATGTCTTAATGATTTGCTGTAAAATATGATTATTATAAATTATATTCATTTCATTTTTCAGCCATGTAATTATAACTAACAAGTGTTAATTGACCCTATTTTATATCTAGCATTTGTGCATTGAGATGGGGGACCAATTATTTGGGCCTATAAAAATAATCTGTCTCCTTTTTGGCCACACTGCTCTCAGTTTCATCACAAGTGGGTGACTTCTGGCTAAACAAGGTAAAATCTTAACATGAGCACCGATCCAAGGACAGGGTGACGATTTTAATGAGTTTCATTGAGAGCTGGCCAAGTGAGCATCTGTTCCTTTTGTTTTCTCCATACTTCGTAAGCCAGGATCTCAAAGCTACATAGTTATTTTGGTGTGTGTCTGTATGATGTGTGTGTTTTTTTTGTTTTGTTTTTCTCTCCCACCCTCTACTTCAGTGGTGCATGGTTAGAAATCTTCTGGCATCTGGCACAATGGTATAATTTCTTCTATGCTCTTGGGTGAGGAAATAAGTTTGCTCATTGCTGCTCATCAGTCTGTTTCCTTTGCTCCCAGATGGTGACCCTCTCATCCCATTCTTGCTTATTTTAACATTATTCTGATATCTATATACTTTCATTGATTCCCTAAATACTCTAATTTAATAATGATTTCTTTCATTTTCTACTGGAACCCACCTAACTTTCTGGCTCCTTTTATTGGCCCACATCCTATCTTCTAGTTCATTTCTTCAGAGTTGAACCAAATAAATAGTTGATCAATAACAAATAAAAATGTAGCTGAATTTTTTTTCTTGCAACAGTCTTCAGTGAGGTACCAATAACATGGAATAGGGAAATAATTTTCCCTTTTTTATTTACATGTGTTATAGTATCTCATCATACTGTGCTATTTCTGTTGACCTCATTTATTGCTTGGCCTTTGAAAAATAATGACTTGCTACTATTTTTGTAGGTCTTTAAGTTTGTCCCTATTTCCTGTTCTTCACTTTCAGCCCTTAACTGAATAGTTTCATCTAATACACTTGATACGGCCACAGAGGTTTTTAACTTGGTACAAGTGTCTGTTGATTCAAATTGTACTCCAAAGTGGTCTTGAATGCCCAGCCATCTCCATGTGAAAGCAACTATACTATAGTGATATCAACCATTTTGGGCTCTAGTTCAAAGCAGTCGATTCTGGTAGGCGTGACTTTGGTTTAGGTGGAGATGGTAATTAAAGTCTAAAACCTTACTGTTAAAGTCCTGGCCAGTTTAGCTCAATGGTTAGAGCGTCAGCCCATGGACCGAAGGGCCTCAGGTTCAATTCTGGTCATGGGCACGTTACTGGGTTGTGGGTTCGATCCCCTGGGGTTGTGCAGGAGGCAACCAATCCATATGTCTCCCACATAGATGTTTCTCTCTTTCTCCCTCCCCCCCTTTCTACTCTATCTAAAAATCATTGGAAATATATCCTCTGGTTGGTATTAACCAAAAAATAAAAACAAATAAAAAATAAAACCTTGCTATTGAATACTGTTTAGATGAGTTTTAGAGAAAACTTTAATACCAGTTATTCCCTTGAAAACATCAATGTTGTTCTGTTTAGACCCCTATAGTGCACTGTATGTGACTCTTCATTGCCAGAAATATTTTACAATAAATGTTTACAATAGGCCTATAAAAAGGGACCTGCCAGTCTTCTTTAGAGTAAAAAAAAAAAAGTTGTAAGACAAACTACAGTCACCCTAGGTTAATAATAATCTTCTGAATCTCTAACTTGAAGAATGAGGCCTAAAAAAGGATTTAAAAATAAAAATGGAGGAGGGGTCATTTTGTCAGTATAACTTAATCCATGTAGTATTTGGAGGCAATGAAATGTCTTTTATTTTCTTCCAAAGCTTTCTTTCTTACTAAGTATAGCCCTGTATTTTATGAGATTTGTGTTTGGAACATGACGAGCTTTGTATTTATTGTAGCTTTAAATGGACAGTCATTACTGACTGCCAACTTAGTCTTTAAAATCAATAATTACATTGTACCTAATTGTCAACCTTCATGATGTTTTTTAATTGATAAAGAAAACTAACTGGAAAAATGAAGAGCATTAATTATTTATGTTATCATTTAATTGACTTTATCTAAATATTACTGAAAAGTTTGGTTCCAGCTTTTCCCTAATTTATTCTTATACACACAACACCCACACATGGTTGAAATTGAGTTGTTTGAACATATATACCTAGATTTCTGTCCACGTAGGAAGAAATACCACCTCTGTGTTTGGAAAATAAACCACTTCAGTAGTCCTTTGTAGATGTTCTGTATTATAGTTGTTGTTTGTTGTTACTGTTTTTTACTTGCGACTAATAATCTGTTTGCAACTGACTGAGGCAGAAAAATGTGATGTTCCTTTCCACTTACTCTAGATTTTGATAGAAGACTTGTTTTATTTATTTCCAAAATTATATCCGCAGGAAACAAGCTGTTTAAATTCAGATTATGCTGAAGCAAAATGGTCTTGGTATGAGAAGCAACGTGCTGTTTTACGAGCACAGAGTCCCTTTTCTCATAACTGATTGATAGTAAATATTTTCCTGAAGAATTATTGCCAACCATGAACAGTGCAACTGTTTCACTTTTTTTCCGTGCTACTTGCTGTACCAGCCATTGTCGGTAATTAAGATCTACAATTCACAATGCAGACGTTTGCACTTCCTCTGGGTCTGTGCTATTTATAAGGCATTTCAGCTGTTCAGAGTTTCTTTTGAGTTTTAAACTACATGTTAACAGGCTTCTTTAATATACTCTTCCACAAGTAGCATGTCAGATGGTCCGTTCTTCAAGTAGGCTTCTCTGTTGGGTCTAACAATGAGCTTTGTGGAGAATATATTTAGATTTAACCATTTCACTAAGGCCAGTGTGGTTGGAAAAGCTCTGGAGTGTAACATTTTACACATTAGGCTTATCACTAAGTCAGGAACAAAGTTTAGAATTAATATTGTTCCTTTCATCTTCAAATGTTCATATGAATTTAATGAGTGTTAATGGTGGGGGGCGGTTACAGAGAGGTACTGAGAAATACTAGTAGAGTGACTTTTTCAAGTTACCTTTGAAGTAAAAATAAAATCAAGGAACACTGTTATAAACAAGAGTTTGTGTGTTTCCGATTAAGGATACAAGAATACATAACCTGGATGTGCATGATTTTTAGGAATACAGACAAAGGGCACCAAAATGGATCAGCAGATTGACTGCAGATTTGTTGTGTAATCAGCTTTAGGAACCCTAAGTATCATATGCCATTGTAGAGGAAAGTATAAATAGGAATCCTGGTCTGTATTAAAATTGGTAAAATTTAAAGTAATTTTCAACCATTTCAAGAGAGTTACTTTTTTAAAAAGTTCAGATTCTAGTGAGAATCGTCATGAATTATGCCTGAGAGTCAGAGTAACTGTTTGCACAGTCTCCTTGCTACTTGCATTTGT